GGGGGGGGGGGGGGGAAGAGGGACGAGGAAATAAGAGTTCGAAGTATTCGATTCGACATTTTCGATTGCATTAAAAATTAAATACGCGTCATGCGACTGCCGATAACAATCGGCGCTTATTGAGGCTTCCATAAAATCCCGGCGGATGACGGCGATGACGTCGCATGAAATATTAATTTCGCGCGCGGATTCGCGAATTTTGTGCCCGGCGAGTTGGCTGTCCGGCCAGGGCGGACTAATTGACTTTCGCGTTGGCGAAATTGAAAATCATCAGCTCCAGAGAAAAGAGGAGGAGGGGGGGGGGGGCACGACAACTGCAGGAACACGGAAAAGGACATACGGTACATCGGTGAACCGGCGAGGCAGCGGCATGTCGGAAATAAATCAGGGGATGCGCCAAGTACGTCCGTAGGTGGAGCACTTTGCGCGCTGCGTGTCCTTTACATTGCGGGTGTGCTCTTTAAACGGGTTTCCATCGCAGACCACGCAGGAGTTTAGCGAGATCCTCTGCGGGAAGATGGAAGTGCACGGATTCGCGGGCGGGCCGAGTTTCGAAAGAAAAGCGCGTGACAGGACGACGGATGAGCGATTCCTTTGAACGCGCGCGCTTTCACCGTCACCGCGCGGTTGTCGTTCGTCGTTCTTCGTGAGACACGTCAGTCTCTCGAGTCCCCGGCAAATCCAGCCGAAATCTAATTTTCTCCGTCGATTTGTCGAACTACTGATTGGGTTCACCACTGCTACACCCGAAACAAAACAGCAATCGAAACAATGAAATCATTGTGATTCTCTGTCAGCGAAGAAGGCAAAGTCAGTCGCTGTGTGTGCAGCGAAGATTATGTCTTCAATTTTTAGGATACCAAAGGGATTAATTATCTTCCAAAAAATGAGACGATAACAGGAGAGTACCGTGCTAATTTTTTGGATCAATTAAACTAAAAAAATTCATGAAAGAAGATCGGGTTTATCGTAGAAAAAATTGCATTCTTTATCAAGATAATGCACGTGTTCATACAATACGTGTAGTTTCGACGGCAGAAGTCGCCGAATTGAAGTACGAATTTGCTGCTAAATCAATTTGATTCGCCTGACTAAACTTTATCTGACTTCCATTTATTTCCATACTTTAAAAAGCTTCTTGGCAAGCGATTTTCCTCAAATAATGAGTTGAAATTTGGAATTATTTTTATAACAAACGATTATTTTGAGAATCATGAAGAGCTCGGACTTTCGGTGTGGAATAAAAGCATTGGAGCATCGCTGGATAAAATGTGTATTGAAATTCCGAAAGGTTATATTGAGAAATAAAAATAATTCCAAAAAGAAAAATATAGTCTTTCATTATCAAGAAAATTTATCCAATTGTTCCAATAGATCGAAGCGGGAAAAATCTGAGGTTATTGATGATCGGTTTAAACACGACCCTCCTCGTTTCATCCATCGACACTCCATCGGGGATGAATTTATTAAAATACGAAGAAAATGATTTATGAATTTTCAATTGACGTAAGTATGACATCTGTTAATCATGCGACGAGATTCCTCTTTTTCTTACGGAGCCTTGTATTTTTGAATATCTATTGACAGTAAAGCCTGTATCAGACTAAGATTAACATTGGATCGAAATTTGGCCAATCAGAACAAAGTTCATTAAACGCGAATTAGTAAGCTTTGCTCCGATTGTGCTGAATTTCAATCCAATTTCGATCCTAATCCGTAGTCTGACATAACGTGTTCGTTATATTTTGCCGACAATGTTCGAGTTAAATCCGATAAATTATACGTATTTAAACTAACACATCTCTGTTAGTATTATGCGAGAAAATTAATGTATCCTTCGTTCCTGCGTGAATATTAACGTACGTTAACCTTTGAAACCGGTTACACTTTGTTACATCGATGATATCAGCGTGTCCATTAACTGCGCCAATTTGAGATAATGAAATGTCACGCAACCGCGTAAGAGCTAGTCTAACATTTTAGAGAATTCGGTAATTGCGGCCGCGGGGCCGCGTCTCCGTGCGTAACGCGTTACCGTATATATCCGGTGAATGAAAATTGCTACGAAACACCGTAGAAGAACTCCACTCACCTTTTACTCAACATAGCCCGCGCGTAAGGGGGATGAATTGTGTAATCGTAATTTCGCCGCGTCTAATTACACGCGGAATTTACATAACGTTGATACACACGATGTGGAAGTCATGTGGAAAAATCCCCCGGAATACATTAGAACTGCAAAGAGAGAGTTTTTGGCCTCATTTAAATTATACATCTACTTTCTGCCATCAAATAAAAATTTCAGGACTCGAGGTTGCGATCTCTTTTTAAAATCAAATCGC